TTTACTAATTAAGACTTCCTGCCACTTTTAAAAAAATTTTAATCAAGAACATAATCTTTGCAATTTTATTAAAATAAATAGGTAGATATGCACATTTATATATATTTAATTAGAAACTTTTTAAATGAGAGAGCATTAATTAACAAGATTGCAAATTTCATATTCTTAATTCAAAACCCTTACAAAGTAATAGTTTTAATTAATAAAGAAAAAAATAGGTTAAAACCCCAATTCAGTCCCTCAACTTTCATTTTTGAACTAAAAATACCCTCAAACTAAAAAAAGTACTAAAAAAATCCTTAAACTTCAATTTTTGAGACCAATTTCGTCCTTCCGTCAGTTAAGTGCTGACATGGCAAAATTTCCCGTTAACAAATTTAATTTTTATTAATATTAAATATTACCTAAAAATAAAATGAGTGAAGTGGCATTTTTAATTATAAATATATGATGACTTGGCACAAAAAATATAATTTAATATACAAAAATTTCCTTTTTTTTTTTCTTTCCTTTCCTTTTTTTTTCTCCTTCTCTTTCCTTTTCTCCTTCCCCTCCCCCTACTGGGTCTTCGAACCCAGCACCAGCGCCTGGGTTCCTCGAACCTAGGCCTTGGGTTCGACGGAACCCAGGACGCCTGGTTTGAGGAACCCGCGCCTGGGTTCCATCGAACCCAAGCCTTGGGTTCCATGGAATCCAGGACGCCTGGGTTCCGAACCCAGCGCCTGGGTTTGAGTCGAACCCGCCTGGGTTTTTTCTTCTGTTTCTTTGTTCGCTGCAGTCATGTTTGGCTATCTTGGAATGTGATTTAGAATTTTGTGTGGCTTTTATTGCTTGAATTTCAAGATCTAGTTACTGTTAGTGTTGATTGAAGAGATCTGGTATACATTTGCAGGGGAATTGATTTTTTGAATCAGATCTTGTGCGAGGAACCAGATTTGGGTTCTATTAGAGAGGAGGTTTGGGGAAGAAGTAGATGGTGATTGAAGTGGTAATAGATCATCGGAGCAATGAGGGATGATCGGTGCTGATTGGGCAACTTAAAGATTTTCCACGTAATTAAAGATTTCAAATAAGAATTGATTTCGTGGTAACTTAACGTGCCATCTGGCACTTCCGTCGACGGAAGGACGAAATTGGTCTCAAAAATTGAAGTTCAAGGATTTTTTTAGTACTTTTTGAAGTTCGAGGGTAGTTTTAATTCAAAAATGAAAGTTGAGGGAATGAATAGGGACTTAACCAAAAAAATATTGTGTCCTTAATTAAAAGATTTTTAAAAAATTGTGTGCTTTCTCGACACTCTCTTTTTCTTCATGAATGGAAGCTTATTTGTTTACCAAGAAGAAAAAAAAAAAACCCAAAGTTTATTTGTTATAAATGAGTGGGAAATTCTAATCATCTATTAGTCTAAGTAGAAATAATTCGATTTCTTTTAAATAAGATTTTGATTTCGAATTTTGTGAATGAAAAAATAGGTGATGAGAGAGTTTCTCCCAAATGAAGTCTAATGTAACTCGATTTTAAATTAATCGAGATTTAATGTGATTATACCGAAATGTTAGTAAAAAAAAAATAAATGAGTAGAAAATATGATGGTTGTATTTATTAGTAGATAAGTTTTATTTTTTTGTGTTAAATTTAAAGTTTAAATTTTGATATGAATATTTAAAAAATAATTATATATATTAAATTAATATGAAAAATACATTATTAAAATAAATTAAAAAAATAATATTAATATGCATAAAAATTAATCTAAAAACACTTAAAAATAAAAATAATCCGTAAGGAAAGAGTGATATAATTAAAACCCGAAAAAAAAAAAAATAAAACCCCAAAATTATTGGGTCGGGTTTTGAGGGATTCGGGCACAATGGAATCCGCTGGCTCAATTTCTAAAGCCGACCGAATAGTAAAGATTGTAGTACACGTGTTTAACTCTAATTGGTTTGGTGTACCAAGTAACAATACTCCAACCTACAAATTACAAAACACCAAAAATCTGAAACCAAAGCCCTACTAAGATCTCCTGTCTCTTTCTCTCTCCATATCTCTCCTTCACGACCACCGCGTGCGGCCTCCGTCGCCGGCGACTGTCGCATATTTCAAGGTCACACCTTCTCTCCGTTTACTATGTGTACTGAGTTTCGTTTTCTGTTTTTCTTTCTGCTGAAAATAGATTTTACAGTTTAAATGCACGTAAAAATGAATATCTTTAGCTGCCACCGCCGCTGGTCGCTGGAAAACCGTAGGTTTCTTCGGCTAGCCGGTGTCGCTTTATTTTATCTCATTCCAATGAGCAAAAAGTCAGCTAAATTTTTGGGCTTTGGTTCTGTTTAGGTTTCCGAAAATGGAGCGGATTGGAACAATTAATTTTTGGGTAGAGGTTTTTTGTATGTAATCGTTTAATATTGTTGTCTCAGGGGTGGGTTTTTCGTAGTTGAGTTTTTCGATTTTTTTAATTGAATTTCTTGGTTAAACATGTTGTTCAATTTTGTAGAAGTTGGGTTGATTGTACCTGCATTTTGTTGAAATCATTCATTAGTTGATAGGTGATTTTTGATAGAGCTAAATGGGCTGAATAAGGTTTGAAATGGAAGAAGTGTTTGGATTTTTGAGATTTCTTTTCTGAATTTATCTTGATTGACATGGCATATAGGGACCATCTAATAAAGAAAAAAATTTAAGGTTAAGAAAAAAAAATGCCATTAGTCGAGTTTTTCTTAGTTGAGTTTTTGTTTTTTTTTAATTGAATTTCTTGGTTAAACCTGCTGTTCAATTTTGTAGAAGTTGGGTTGATTGTACCTGCATTTTGTTGAAATCATCAATTAGTTGATAGGTGATTTTTGATAGAGCTAAATGGGCAGAATAAGGTTTGAAATGGAGGAAGTGTTTGAATTTTTGAGATTTCTTTTATGAATTTATCTTGATTGACATGGCATATAAGGACCATCTAATAAAGAAAAAATTTAAGGTTAAGAAAAACAAAAATGCCATTAACCTTCTTCTTTCAATCTAACATGTAAGCTTGACTGACACCCAAAGATGAACTGATGAGGACTCTCTTTGGGTTGTTTACTGGTTAATTGTTTGGTTCCACCTAAGTCTATTGTATGCTTTCTGCACTCCTAGAGGTTTGTTGGGTTATACTTAACGTATTGGTATATATGTTATTTGTTGAATAGGTATACAGAAGATGGGGAGGCATTATCTTATCTTGAGTGCACCACTTTTCTTTAGCTTAGCTGGATGTACCATTAGAAACAGCAACCCGACTTGGCTATCATCACCTTGGCCTGTATGCATGTTAGAAACTTCCTTTCATGTCAAGAAGACCTTGGTGATCAATCTCTTTGTGTAAAATAAAAGTAAAGGTCCTAGTCAGTGTGAAATGAGGTGCTATCCTGAATGTGCAATCCTGCAAGTTGTTTTTGGACAAACTGAAGTGCCTGAAGTTGATTGTGTTAACTAGGGATAAAAATCTTGTGATTCAAGAGGGTTGATGATATATACAAGTAATTTTAAACTAACCTAGTGATGGTCTTAAAATTTTGTTCTTCATTTGTAATTAGGAAATTTATCTATGAAAACAATTTTATTATACAGTCTTTTTGATGAATACTCAGCCCTGGTTATTTTTGAAAACCATATTTCTTTCTGTATAATTCTTACCTTCCGTTTGCTTTTGTTAGAATTTATCACCATGAGAGTTCTTTTGTAGAGTAATTATTTGGTTTCATCTTGTAAGCAGATATCACACGATTCCATCATGATATAAGTATTGCAATAAAGCAATGGCATCAAAGGGTCCAAGGACCAAGCCTGATCATGAGACACGAGCTAGGCGCCCAAAGGTATACTTTTTATATGCAGAATCTTGTTTGGGTTCTGTCTAGGTGTCATAAAAGTCTGTTCTTGGAAAATAAAATAATAAAAAAAAAATTAAATGTGAGATCTGAAGGAAAATTACCACCTTTTGTGAATGTCGTACAGAATATGTGCATGCATGTCATTTGGTGCTCTTTTAAATTCCCAATAGTATTTTGTGAATTTATGGATTTTTGATGGAAGTGGCACTTCTTCTTTATTGTTGGTTACTATAGCATAGTAAAGCTCATTATTGAGGTTGGCATGCGTAAATACCAATTATTGCTACTGGTTTAACATATGAATTTCAACAGTTAGGAATTTATTATAGTTTTATATATTATAAATTGGATCAATATGGGCCAATTAATTCATTATTTTCCTTTCTCCTCTTTCTCAAAGGGAAAAACTGCTATGCACCATATTAGAGGGTATTCTTGTTAACTTTTAAAAGGAAGTCCTGAAAATTTGTAGTTGTAATGGTAATTCTTTTCCATATTGTACAATTTCTGAAGTCTGTTTACTTTCTTTTTTAAAATTGAGTTAAGGGCTAGATGGTGTAGAAGATTTGCCTTTTTCCTTTTATGCTTTTGCCTCAGAAGTTGCTCTTTAGTTTAGGAAATTAGAAATTATTTCACAGGTTAAGTACTGAACCAGGAACTAGGTAGTGGAACATCATCACTGAAATGCTGAACCTATGGAAAAAAAATCTTTTGATTGCAAACTTTAATGTTGACATATTGATGGAATTGACTGTGCTTGGAGGGTAATTCAAGTGTCTCCCTTTTGCCCTAAGGCCTCATCTGAGGGTTTTATTTCCTCAGAAGTCAAAACTAGCTGAAATGCCTTCTTCAGTTTATTTTCTTCAAGCCCTCTGTTGAAGGCCATTTTCTTCTAGCATGCTTAAGAGAGGTTCTTTCCCTTCTGTCTCCTGCTTTTCTTCTTGTTCATTCTATATGGATCTAATAATTCTTTTTAAATGGATGACTTGGTAGGATTAACTTCGATGTTGCCAAATGTTTTTCATTTCTACTTTTAAGTTGTATTCTGCATATAATCAACCATGTGGCAGAAATGCAACTTCTAGGTATTTAATCTGTGATAAAATTTTAACTTCTTGTTTTGAATGTGAATTTAGGCACTTGAGGCGCCTAGAGAACCCCATCGACCTAAGACTCATTGGGATCATGTCTTAGAAGAGATGGTTTGGTTGTCAAAGGTAATGGATGAACATATGCTGTAGAATGCTATCCTTTTCAATTTTTAATATGTAAACCATGTCTGACTTTTGCTTTATCTCGTCGTATTTTATGGATGCATGTGTCTATATATGTGCTTCTATGTGGCTTTGAAAGTGTCTCCTTGTAGTGATATAGGGATGGATACTTTGTAGTTTTCTCTTGCTAACTAGGCCAGCTATATTGGCAGGACTTTGAGTCTGAGAGGAAGTGGAAGTTGTCTCAGGCAAAGAAGGTTGCACTGAGGGCCAGCAAGGGCATGTTAGATCAGGCCACCAGGGGAGAAAAGAAGCTGAAGGTATTTTCTTTTTGTTCAAAGTACTGCAATGTGATTTTTTGGATCATTTTGCTAAAGGAATAGCTTTGTGCTTGTTACAGAAAAATTGTAGTTTTAAGATCATTAGGACCACTCTTTGTTGTTAAAATTATGTTTTTATTGTGAGCAGGAGGAAGAACAGCGATTACGAAAACTTGCGCTTAATATTTCCAAGGATGTGAAGAAATTCTGGATGAAAATCGAGAAGCTGGCAAGTCATTATAAATTGATTTTCAGATAAATTATTTTCAAATTTCTCTCATAAACCCTTTCTCTAAACAAAATTATAATCTCAGGTGCTTTACAAGCATCAGACGGAGCTTGATGAAATAAAGAAAAAAGCACTAGATAAACAGCTCGAGTTTCTTTTGGGGCAAACTGAGAGGTTTATGTTCTTTGCTAATTAATTTGACCTATATTTCAAGTTTCTAGGTTTTTAAGTTGGGAAAAAGGAAACCATTATCTTCTGATGGATTTTTTAGGTATTCAACAATGTTGGCAGAAAATCTAGTGGATTCATTTAAGCCAGTCATACATTGTCCTGCACAGGATACAACAAACATCCTGATTAAGTCAGATTCAAAGCTTGCAGATGATCCATTGGAACTTAATGATGGTAAGCAGAGTTTTCTTATTTCACCACTTTTAAGTGCTTCTATGTATAAAAATCATTTATGTCTCATGTAACTTGTGATAGATATTCAAGACACTGATGAAGATTTTGATGTACGATCTGAAGATGAATCAGTGAGTTTTACTTTTTCTTTTCTCTTTGATTTTTCTTGTATTATTTTCCTCAAATGAAAGGATGAAGTTTATGCTTTTCTCATCAAGATTTCAACAACCAAGATGTTTCATCAGCAGGTTCTAAATGAACCATGTTGTTGTCATTTCTAAGGATGTATTGGTTAATATGATGCATCCAATGATATTAGCCACTCACATTTTAAAGCCCCATTTTATTGACTTGCATGTTTGAGTTTGGATTTTGGTTAGATAATATGACACAAGTTAGCAAAAGAAACTGTTGATATGTGTATGTGCTTTATCTATGTAATCTTGTAGACTTGTACTGTGTCCCTCACTACCAAACAGGATTATGAGTGTGAAATGGGTTGCTCTTAATAGGCTAGGACATGTTTAGTAGGTTTTAACAGGGTAGAAGACCGTTTGGGTGTCAGCAGTAATATGAGTTACTCTAGCAGCACTTTCAAGGAAGAAAAAGATATGATAGAGAAAGTGTAGCAAAAGAAATATGTTGGCACTGCTACTAAGAAGAATAGTAACTGTTTCACACTACGAATATGGTCCTAATTAATTAATGATAGATATCTAACTTTGAATCTGAAAAGATGAAACCTGAACTCCTAAAGACTTGAAGAATAGCCCAAACTTAAACAATAACTCTAGAGTGCAGGGATGGAAATTACAAATCATAAAATAAAATTTTAAATGCCTAAAACCAAATTTTGCTAGAAAGAATGGAGAATTTGATTCTTGAGTTGCTACATCAATTGATCACCCTTGATTAAAAAGTCTAGAGTTCATGTCTTATGGGTAATTTGGCTTAATTTATATATTTACAATTATATTGAAGTCCCCAGTTTAATAGATTGTTTTCATCCTGGTCCTTTGAGCATGAATTCATGGAATATAAATTTCATTTGTCCTTCAAAAGTTTCAAGATGCACTATCTTACAAGCTCGCTTTAATGATGGTACTCTTTAGGAAGATGATGAGCAGACCCTTGAGGAAGATGAGGCACTTATTACTGAAGAGGAGAGGCAGGAAGAATTAGCAGCTTTGCAGAGTGAAATAGATCTTCCACTGGAGGAGCTGCTCAAATGTTATATGGTAGACAGAGGTGAATTGTTACTATGAAGACCCCTTTTCTTGTTTTCCACTGTTTTTTCTCCCTTTTCACTTGAGGAGCTACTCAGATGTTATGCAGTAGGGAGTGGTGAATCTTACCATGAAAAATTCTACTTTTGTCTTAGCCCTTTCCAGCACATTTGGAGCACAGAGTAAACAGTGGGATCCCACTATATCCCATGTTTGGTAGGGTAAAAGGATGAGATAACTGGTATCCCATCCTGAGTTCCTTTAATAAAAGGTATCCCACCTTCCCCATGGGATTAGGTGGGATAAAATCTGATTTTACTTTTTTACCCTTTTCTATCCCCCACGATTCTCTATCCTTTTCCTTAATTTTTTTTTTTCTAGCCAATGTCTGCAGCTTTGAGTTGATTCACGATCAACCATCGACTCTCCTTTGAACTTCAACTTTTTTTTATTATTAGTTTTCTGGTTTGACTGTTTGGGTTGCTGGAAAACAATGGAAAATTTTGATTATAGTTAATTGCAATTTTGTTATAGGTCATGTGTAATTAATTAACTTATCAAAAAAAAAAAAAGTGTAATTAATTAATAATTATTATAATTTTTTTGATAAAAATAACTGATGATAACTATCTCAATTAATTTCACTATTAAATGTTATTATGATTAATGGTAAAATAAATTAAAATAAAATTTTATTAGATTTAATTATAATGCAAGGGCAGTTTTGTCTATATAGATAAATATTTTTGCCTAGTCCTACTTTAATCCAATGATCAACCAAACATTTCATAGGATTTTAATATCTTATCTAATCCAGTCCAATCTTGTCCTTTGAATCTTATCCAATCCAATCTAATCTTGTATTCTAAACGAACCCTTTGTTCCTTTTAGTTTTTATTCAGGACTTGAGTTCTTTTTGATTCATAGTTTGCCTTATTCTCTATTTATTTCTGTTAAAAATCACCCAACATTCTTATTAAAAGTCACATAGCATTTTGAAAAATGATCCAGTCTAGTGGCTGTTGTTTTTTGCTTGTGACTAACAGTGTAATTGTGCTCTTATAGTTCACGATTGTATTCTTTAATAAATTTGATTAATATAAGTTTTCTCAGTTAGCAGAGAAAGTTGTCCAGACAAGAGTGAAGATGGAATTAAGCCAACCTTGGATGAAGATGATTATGGAAAGGGTGAGAAATTGTTTATAAGTAGTCTATTTGAGGGGGTATGTATGTTACCCTGATATTGTGAGAGTTTAACGTTATGCAGACAACAATGATCATTGTGCTGCCAGCAGCAAAGGTGACCCAAGCAGCTTGCTTGTTCGTCGTTCTGTAAGTTGTATGTGTTTATGGTTGCTGTTATTATATTTCAAGGCAAGTTCTGGTCTCAACAGAATGTTCTTATTTGATTGTAGAGTGAAAGCAATGGTGATTTGCATGTATCTGAAAGGAATTCGTTAAAGATTAAGACAGCTCCAGTCAAAAATCTGTCTGATAACTCTAGGGAGGAAGCCAAAGAAGATGTTCCATATGACTTCAATGATGAACAGGTTAGACTAAATTTTTTTTTTTTTTTTTACACTATAAGCAGCCAAACATATATAAATTTGATGCAATGTTCAGCTTATTTTTGCCTTGCTTTTTAGTTGGTTTACTGTGTCTTGGTTGAGGCATGCTTATTTTGTATTTCTACTTTTGTATTATTTGGTACCATGTATGCCATATAAAGATCTTCAGATGTGGGCAAAAGTAGGTAGAAATCAGATGTCACATTTGGCAAAAAAAATTTAACATGCTAACGTAAACATTTTTGAAGCATGGATTTAAAAAGAGAATGCATAAACTTAATGTCCATAAGGCCTGTGTCAATTCTGCTGCTCAACACTTCTGTCTTATTTTACCAGATGCTACCTCCATTTTCCCAGATGTGTCCATAAACTTCTCTCTCATGTCATTTATTTCTCAGAAAAGGAAACTGTTGCTGCTGGTCTTTCAAGATGCTATCGCCATTCTTTATTTTCTCACTTTACCATGCCAGCACTGAACTTATGATCAGATACCTGAGTCTGATCTTTCACCATTAGTTTAGCATTCTTATATATATATATATATATATATATATATATGAGAAAAGTGTATCAATCCTCACTCCTAAAATAAGTTGGAGTCCTAACATTAAACTATGATGTT